GGCGGAATTACATGCTTTTCCGTGGTTGACGAGGTGGCCGAGTGGTTAAGGCGATGGACTGCTAATCCATTGGGCTCTGCCCGCGTGGGTTCGAATCCCATCTTCGTCGGTTTGTTATTTTTTTGATTTTGCCCCAGTCTCTAGAAAATTTATATAAACTCCCGTTCCTTTCAGTTCGTGATGACTATGCAATGTGGTTGATGCTCTTTTTATTGTAGCAATCGCTCATGAAAACGAGGGTATGCAGCTTGTGACATCTTTTTGCATGGGTGTCTGTCGTGGCGAACTTACAGTAGCATAATCATAGTTGATGCAAGTCAGCGACAGGAAGTGGATTAACTACATCACTATTATCTTTAAATCCAGACATCCAGGCATTTGGACAGAGTTTGTGGAGTTACACACTCTTGCTTTCTTGCGTGTGTGTGTGTGTGCGCGCACGCACGCGTGTGTGTGTGTGTGTGTGTGTGTGTGTGTGTGTGTGTGTGTGTGTGTGTGTGTGTGTGTGTGTGTGTGTGTGTCAAACAGGTGCTATACATCACTAACACCGTGTCTGGCCTGGCTGCTGGAGATATTCTCCGATGACCAGTGGAAGAACGAACAGGTCAGTGATGCAACTAATGCTTTACCGTATTTCCCCTTAACTTCAGGGCCAACAAAGGGGGTGCTTATAAGCTTATAGACTTATAATCAAGCATGATTACTACTGAAGTGAATATATCAAAACGATAATGACATGGACCTGGGAATAGGGGTGCAACTTACAATCGAGTGCGACCTATAATCGGGGAAATACGGTACATGGTAATCTTTTGAAGTAAATGCATTTTTTCTAGGAGTGAAGTGTTATGTATAGGGATACAGAGTTTTCTAGTATGAAGTGCAGAGTGTATGAACAGTGTTGAACACGCTCATTCCATGCCGCAGAGCAGCAAGTGGATTCTATGCAAACGTTCTCTCCGTGCCAATCATTGAGTCATGACAATCAATATGACTGCATGTTTCCGGTCGCCCTAGCGGGTCTGTGTACCGGACGTGAAGAAACGTCCCCACCAACATGTGCATGTGAATGAACGTAGATTAATGGGTCTGTACACGGCCTGCACTGCCGTTCTTACACCTCTTTTTTTGCAATGCTAGGGGTGTCCAGAATGAGAAAATCAATAATTATAATTATTAGGGTATGTATTTGGGCACTTTGGAGGGCTTATGGCCCCTCGAAGTAGCCCAAGCAAGGCGTTCTCTAAGAAAGAGACAGGTTTGCATTGATGACGATAAAATGCTTCGTACCTTCACCGATTGCTTCGTGACATCATGCCTGTAAAAACGACGCATCCGCTTGTGTGTCGAATAGCTCTCCCAATCAACAGTCCAAAGTTGCGCACAAACTGGCTGCAGAGGAAACGAAAACAAAGTGCAGACACGCGCACTAACGTCAAACGACGAGAAGCCATATGGAAACGCATCAAGTTTTTTATTTGTCTGTGAACCCTGACCAAATGGCTGACCCCTTTGAGGTGACTTCCGGAGGACCCTCCGCCGGCGCAACAGTGACGGTTGCTGTAGTAGTATCTTCAATCGGCAGGCTGGGACCGTTCCACCAGGTGCTGCATTTCAACAAGGCTGCGGCACTCAAACCACGGGATGGTAGGTCGGCTGGATTCTGCTTTGTCGGGACGTAATGGTAGAGAACGTCTGGAATGGCTGGGATGGCGTTCACGCGGTTCTGTTCGAAGACAGGGAGCTTCGTGGACTTGAGCCAATGGAAAACGGTCGTTGAATCGGAGTAGAGATGAGTAGCTTGGAACTGGATGTCAAGTTGCTTGCGCAGATACAGGATGAGACGAGATCCTAGGCTCGCCGCCATCAATTCCAACCGTGGGATTGTTTGACCCTTGACGGGAGAGACCTTTTGTCTTGCTGAAGATGATGTGGCACTTACTCTGATCACCAACTGTGCTCTCTAGGTATGCAACGGCAGCATAGGCGATCGCTGATGCATCGCATTAGACGTGTAACTGATGCGACGGACTCTGACATGTGGGTACGCCAATGTAGCGTAAGATCGGGTGGTTGCTACTTCAACTTGCTGGATTCGTCAAGGCTGGCAGCTATTGGGTGCCAGCGACTGAGGACGTGGGAGGGCAGTGGGTCATCCCATGACACAGCAAGCTCCCAGATATCTTGCTTACCAGTATCAGAACATGTCAGGGTAGATTTATCAACGAAAATACAATGGTTGAAAGTACAGGCTTCCGTGTGAGGAGATGAAACTGGTATTCCTAACCCCGATTCGACATGGTACCAAAATGCTTTGAAATTTAAAATTTTGCAAAATTGGCCCGAAAATGACTTGGACTCGTTTACCCACTGTTTACAGAAATATGCAAAGAAATGATAGTCTCTTGTAATTGATTCCAGTGGATTTACCTCCACGGTGTATGAGTATAGTGGTCCTGAATACCAGAAAAAGAATTGAAATGTGCTTACATCATAGTTTAATACAAGCCTGCCTCATAGAAACAAATGAAAAGTGAACTCCTGTTTGTAAAAATAGGGTTTCTCTTATTTCGGGACATAAATGCGAGGGTATGGGTGTGGCTTTCACAGGCCCCACATATAGGGACGGATTCATTACACACTAGCAAAAGTTTGGGATACACAGCTTGCCCTTGTGATGCTACAGCACTGCAAATTTGAACAACATCGACTAACCGGGAGCCCGGCTTGCTCACGGCAAACTCACAGCTTACGTTGGGTTTACTTACTAACTTTTACTTACTTGTACTAACATTCAAGCACAAGCAGGACTAGTGTGCATACTGAGCACCGGCTCCCTCTGTACCTTCACTGTTCATGTTCTGCTGTGCTGTCCTGTCCTGTGTTGCTACTGCAGCTTGGTGTACTGTGCGATGCTTTACTGGATGTGACACCCCACCATCATCAGATGTACAGCGTAGCACAGGCGTTGCCGCCCACCGCACGCGGACGGTGAGCCTGAAGCTCTGCGCGTGATGTGCTGCGTGTGATGTGCTGCTTGTGACATGCTACGTGTTTTATGTACACATACACACGTGCAGTGTTTGTGAATAGCAGGGCTGTGTTGATTGTGTTGTGTTTTCTGTGTGCTACTGGGTCCAGGCATGGAGTCAGTGTAACCTGATGGGTATAGTGTGTAGTCCAGGCATGGAGTCAGTGTAACCTGATGGGTATAGTGTGTAGTCCAAGCATAGAGTCAGTGTAACCTGATGGGTATAGTGTGTAGTCCAGGCATGGAGTCAGTGTAACCTGATGGGTATAGTGTGTAGTCCAAGCATAGAGTCAGTGTAACCTGATGGGTATAGTGTGTAGTCCAGGCATGGAGTCAGTGTAACCTGATGGGTATAGTGTGTAGTCCAAGCATGGAGTCAGTGTAACCTGATAGGTATAGTGTGTAGTCCAGGCATGGAGTCAGTGTAACCTGATGGGTATAGTGTGTAGTCCAAGCATGGAGTCAGTGTAACCTGATGGGTATAGTGTGTAGTCCAGGCATGGAGTCAGTGTAACCTGATGGGTATAGTGTGTAGTCCAAGCATGGAGTCAGTGTAACCTGATGGGTATAGTGTGTAGTCCAGGCATGGAGTCAGTGTAACCTGATGGGTATAGTGTGTAGTCCAAGCATGGAGTCAGTGTAACCTGATGGGTATAGTGTGTAGTCCAGGCATGGAGTCAGTGTAACCTGATGGGTATAGTGTGTAGTCCAGGCATGGAGTCAGTGTAACCTGATGGGTATAGTGTGTAGTCCAAGCATGGAGTCAGTGTAACCTGATGGGTATAGTGTGTAGTCCAAGCATGGAGTCAGTGTAACCTGATGGGTATAGTGTGTAGTCCAAGCATGGAGTCAGTGTAACCTGATGGGTATAGTGTGTAGTCCAGGCATGGAGTCAGTGTAACCTGATGGGTATAGTGTGTAGTCCAAGCATGGAGTCAGTGTAACCTGATGGGTATAGTGTGTAGTCCAGGCATGGAGTCAGTGTAACCTGATGGGTATAGTGTGTAGTCCAGGCATGGAGTCAGTGTAACCTGATGGGTATAGTGTGTAGTCCAAGCATGGAGTCAGTGTAACCTGATGGGTATAGTGTGTAGTCCAGGCATGGAGTCAGTGTAACCTGATGGGTATAGTGTGTAGTCCAGGCATGGAGTCAGTGTAACCTGATGGGTATAGTGTGTAGTCCAAGCATAGAGTCAGTGTAACCTGATGGGTATAGTGTGTAGTCCAGGCATGGAGTCAGTGTAACCTGATGGGTGTAGTGTGTAGTCCAGGCATGGAGTCAGTGTAACCTGATGGGTATAGTGTGTAGTCCAGGCATGGAGTCAGTGTAACCTGATGGGTATAGTGTGTAGTCCAAGCATGGAGTCAGTGTAACCTGATGGGTGTAGTGTGTAGTCCAGGCATGGAGTCAGTGTAACCTGATGGGTATAGTGTAGTGTTGAAACGAATAATCGAATAATCGAATAATTTAGAATATTCGTGGGGTGAACGAATAATCGAATAGTCGTAGGAATTATGAGAAATCGAAAAAAAAAAAAAAAAAAAAAAAAAAGATCTATGCTCAGTGCTGACCCTACTGATATTTGCACTGCGTAGATCTGCTCGTAGTATTACTTCTCAAACTCTTCTCCTCCAAGTTTTAATCTCCTATCGGTATCTAGTAATACTTCTGTTCTTTCCATGCGAGGGAAACATGGATGCAGTGAATGTGATTTTCGGTCTTTGACCACTTTCGACCAAGACCCTATGCAGAGCTGTATCAGGCGTTGCACACTCTGGGGGGTTATGTACTCTTGGCGGTACAAGTTAACCGGTTTTGCACCTCCACATAACAAAATCCGATAATCAGCAAAATTAAAAAAAATACTTAAAAGTGCTGAAAAAGTGTTGAAAAATGCCATCAATCATCATGCGTATATATGATAGAATATAGATTATTCGTTCGATGGAGGGCGAAATTATTCGATAGATTATTCGTTCGAAGAATCCGTGTTCGGTTTAAACACTAGACTATAGTGTGTAGTCCAGGCATGGAGTCAGTGTAACCTGATGGGTATAGTGTGTAGTCCAGGCATGGAGTCAGTGTAACCTGATGGGTGTAGTGTGTAGTCCAAGCATGGAGTCAGTGTAACCTGATGGGTATAGTGTGTAGTCCAGGCATGGAGTCAGTGTAACCTGATGGGTATAGTGTGTAGTCCAGGCATGGAGTCAGTGTAACCTGATGGGTATAGTGTGTAGTCCAAGCATGGAGTCAGTGTAACCTGATGGGTATAGTGTGTAGTCCAGGCATGGAGTCAGTGTAACCTGATGGGTATAGTGTGTAGTCCAGGCATGGAGTCAGTGTAACCTGATGGGTATAGTGTGTAGTCCAGGCATGGAGTCAGTGTAACCTGATGGGTATAGTGTGTAGTCCAAGCATGGAGTCAGTGTAACCTGATGGGTATAGTGTGTAGTCCAGGCATGGAGTCAGTGTAACCTGATGGGTATAGTGTGTAGTCCAAGCATGGAGTCAGTGTAACCTGATGGGTATAGTGTGTAGTCCAAGCATGGAGTCAGTGTAACCTGATGGGTATAGTGTGTAGTCCAGGCATGGAGTCAGTGTAACCTGATGGGTATAGTGTGTAGTCCAAGCATGGAGTCAGTGTAACCTGATGGGTATAGTGTGTAGTCCAGGCATGGAGTCAGTGTAACCTGATGGGTATAGTGTGTAGTCCAGGCATGGAGTCAGTGTAACCTGATGGGTATAGTGTGTAGTCCAAGCATAGAGTCAGTGTAACCTGATGGGTATAGTGTGTAGTCCAGGCATGGAGTCAGTGTAACCTGATGGGTGTAGTGTGTAGTCCAGGCATGGAGTCAGTGTAACCTGATGGGTATAGTGTGTAGTCCAGGCATGGAGTCAGTGTAACCTGATGGGTATAGTGTGTAGTCCAGGCATGGAGTCAGTGTAACCTGATGGGTATAGTGTGTAGTCCAAGCATGGAGTCAGTGTAACCTGATGGGTGTAGTGTGTAGTCCAGGCATGGAGTCAGTGTAACCTGATGGGTATAGTGTGTAGTCCAGGCATGGAGTCAGTGTAACCTGATGGGTATAGTGTGTAGTCCAGGCATGGAGTCAGTGTAACCTGATGGGTGTAGTGTGTAGTCCAAGCATGGAGTCAGTGTAACCTGATGGGTATAGTGTGTAGTCCAGGCATGGAGTCAGTGTAACCTGATGGGTATAGTGTGTAGTCCAGGCATGGAGTCAGTGTAACCTGATGGGTATAGTGTGTAGTCCAAGCATGGAGTCAGTGTAACCTGATGGGTATAGTGTGTAGTCCAAGCATGGAGTCAGTGTAACCTGATGGGTATAGTGTGTAGTCCAAGCATGGAGTCAGTGTAACCTGATGGGTATAGTGTGTAGTCCAGGCATAGAGTCAGTGTAACCTGATGGGTATAGTGTGTAGTCCAGGCATGGAGTCAGTGTAACCTGATGGGTATAGTGTGTAGTCCAGGCATAGAGTCAGTGTAACCTGATGGGTATAGTGTGTACTGGTGTATTTACATGTACAGTAAAACCTGTAACTAACGACCACCCCTTGGGGCCAGAAAAAAACGGTCTTTAGTGGCAGGTGGTCTTTAGTTAGAGGTTTGCACCGCGCGACCATATAGGCATATGTGGATCCCATTCTATGACATGTATGTCAAAATGCAGCTAATACCATTCCCCACCACTTGCGCAATGCCACTTGTCCTTTGAGCAGTGGCATCCGTCAGAGGGCAGGTTCGATGCGCTCTCCAAGACGTTTCCTATCATGTTTGCTCATGATAGCACTTGAAACTAATGGCAGGTGCCGTGCATGCAGCCCAGTAAAAAATGAGCCTGCGCTCATTTGTTCAGCTGTAGTATCGAAAGGGTCCATTCAGGACCATGGAAAATCATCAACATTTCAAAGGAGGAGCTTCGAACAACATTTGATTTCCTACATCGCGGTCGCTAGTTACGGGTCAAAAAATCGACATTGGGACAAGAAGAGGCGGTCGCTGGTCGCGTTCAGCAGGTGGTCGCTTGTCACAGTGCATTTTGAATGTGAAACCATCCGTGCCTGGCAAAGTGGTCTTTAGTACCAGGCTGGTCGCTAGTCACGGTGGTCTTTAGTACCAGGCTGGTCGCTAGTCACGGTGGTCTTTAGTTCCAGGCTGGTCGCTAGTCACGGTGGTCTTTAGTACCAGGCTGGTCGCTAGTCACGATGGTCTTTAGTACCAGGCTGGTCGCTAGTCACGGTAGTCTTTAGTACCAGGCTGGTCGCTAGTCACGGTGGTCTTTAGTACCAGGCTGGTCGCTAGTCACGGTGGTCTTTAGTACCAGGCTGGTCGCTAGTCACGGTGGTCTTTAGTACCAGGCTGGTCGCTAGTCACGGTGGTCTTTAGTACCAGGCTGGTCGCTAGTCACGGTGGTCTTTAGTACCAGGCTGGTCGCTAGTCACGGTGGTCTTTAGTACCAGGCTGGTCGCTAGTCACGGTGGTCTTTAGTACCAGGCTGGTCGCTAGTCACGGTGGTCTTTAGTACCAGGCTGGTCGCTAGTCACGGTGGTCTTTAGTACCAGGCTGGTCGTTAGTCACGGTGGTCTTTAGTACCAGGCTGGTCGTTAGTCACGGTGGTCTTTAGTACCAGGCTGGTCGCTAGTCATGGTGGTCTTTAGTACCAGGCTGGTCGTTAGTCACGGTGGTCTTTAGTACCAGGCTGGTCGCTAGTCACGGTGGTCTTTAGTTCCAGGCTGGTCGCTAGTCACGGTGGTCTTTAGTACCAGGCTGGTCGCTAGTCACGATGGTCTTTAGTACCAGGCTGGTCGCTAGTCACGGTAGTCTTTAGTACCAGGCTGGTCGCTAGTCACGGTGGTCTTTAGTACCAGGCTGGTCGCTAGTCACGGTGGTCTTTAGTACCAGGCTGGTCGCTAGTCACGGTGGTCTTTAGTACCAGGCTGGTCGCTAGTCACGGTGGTCTTTAGTACCAGGCTGGTCGCTAGTCACGGTGGTCTTTAGTACCAGGCTGGTCGCTAGTCACGGTGGTCTTTAGTACCAGGCTGGTCGCTAGTCACGGTGGTCTTTAGTACCAGGCTGGTCGTTAGTCACGGTGGTCTTTAGTACCAGGCTGGTCGTTAGTCACGGTGGTCTTTAGTACCAGGCTGGTCGTTAGTCACGGTGGTCTTTAGTACCAGGCTGGTCGCTAGTCATGGTGGTCTTTAGTACCAGGCTGGTTGTTAGTCACGGTGGTCTTTAGTACCAGGCTGGTCGCTAGTCACGGTGGTCTTTAGTTACAGGTTTTACTGTACTTGTAGCTGGATACCTCTGCCCTGCTACCACTGTTTTTTTGCATCTCAGCATGTACAGTCAAGCTTGCCAGTAACGACCTCGGATATAACGACAACTCGTGAATACCAACATATTTTTGATTCGTAATAATATTGTGTGTAGCCTGAAGCTTCTCTTGACGAGGGGGGGGGGGGGGGGGTTATTCCAATGCTGAGCTTGCTAATGTTATTTTGTTGTTGTTTTGTGATCTGCTTTCTCTCATTTTGTCCAGACAACTGCAAAAGCAATACTGGTACGCTTTTCTGGTATCCGTATGTCTCTCTCTCTCTCTCTCTCTCTCTCTCTCTCTCTCTCTCTCTCTCTCTCTCCTCTCTCCTCTCTCCTCTCTCTCTCTCCTCTCTCTCTCCCCTCTCTCTCTCCTCTCTCTCTCTCTCTCTCTCTCTCTCTCTCTCTCTCTCTCTCTCTCTCTCTCTCTCTCTCTCTCTCTCTCTCTCTCTCTCTCTCTCTCGCGCGCGCGCACGCACGCACGCACGCACACACACACCTGTTTGTGTTATGTAAAAGCACCAGATTGAGGTACCGGTACATGTATCTTGCTCCTAATTACAAAGAATAACTTGCAACTTGGATTTGGGTCACATGAGCTCATATGTGCTCCGGTTTTTTCTACCTTCCTACTTTGTACCAATGCACGTGCATGTGCACCTTTTGCTAACACAGCTAATGGAATTGAAACTGAACATGTCATGTCCCTTTTGAATACAACTACTTGTATATTGTACGCAAACAGGTTTTCCGGGTGTCAGCAGCCGTCCTGAGTTTACTCGGGAACGGGGATGAAAATTTGCTTTTTTTGTTCAATGTCTGAGTGAAATTGTTCCGAGGAACAGCTGATGGTTGCCTTGTACCTGAAGCAGAGGTGGAATCTATGATAATGTTCTCTTGTTTGGCGTTGTGTTGTGTGGATGTGCATGTGCAGTTTCAAATGCCTGTTCTGCATCGTGCTGAATGAGCCATTGGAGGGTGAAAGGCCAGTGGCTACGGTTAGTTCACTGCTGTAAAACCTGTACATTGACATCTGTACGTTGACATATACGTGTATGCATCATGTCCTGTAAAACCCAGTCCTGGTTGTAGTGGTGGCGTGGGACAGCTGGTCGCTTTCTCGGGGTGGTTGTCTTGAGCGGTTTTCCTGTACGTTGTACACTACAGCGTAGAGAAAATCACTGTCTGTTGGATGTAACACAGTTTACTATGTCATCCATGATCAGTTCACTAAGTACTGTAAGACATGTTATTATAACGAGTCGCAAATTTAACGATTGTCCAAAATTCATAGGTTAACGAGAAGATATGTTAACGATCTTGCAGTATTCTGCCATATCCACACACAGCATATATGAAGCAGTACAGCCTCAACGGATCTTATTATAACGAAGAAATGTCATCCGTTAAAACGTTAGATTTGCTTCCTCGTTATATATACATGTCTTACAGTATCCCGCTGGACATGCATGATTCAGCCACCTGAGAGTCATTAAGTGCACGTTGTTAAGCACAGGGAGTCTTTTTTCTGGACTTTGGAGCGGCAGGATGGAAACTGCAAATAAGCGTCTTGGAATTTTTTCCGCAGGGGCTCATTTTTGCCCCCTATCCCATCCAGCTCCATTGCAGAGCAGTTTCGCCGTCTTTCTCCATGCAGAACCAAAGAATCATAACGAGAGAGCTTGGAAGCTCAGGGCCCTACGTTATGCTTTTTTGCCTTGATGACCTAGACAAAAAAAGCATAGGGTTGTTATAAATTCTTTAAAAAATTCCTTTTTTTTTAAGACATAACCTGGGATTCGAACCCGCACTATCGCGCCCTGCATGCATCCCCCGATACACTTCGCATACATACTAATTCTTCCAAGTTGCTTCACATTATGATCTTGCATTTGAAAGCCCTATTTGAATATGCATTGTGGCCAGCCGTCTTTGATGGTACGGTAGGGATAGGTACGGGACAGGTACGATCGAGGGTAATACGACACCGTCTCCCGTACCGTACCATCAAACACAGCTGGCCACATACAGCTGCCCGCAATATTCAAATAGGGCTTTCAAACGCAAGATCATAACGTGAAGCAACTTGGAAGAATGGGTATGAATGCGAAGTGTATGTGGGAATGCATGTAGGGCGATAGTGCGGGTTCGAATCCCAGGATATGCCTGAAAAAAAATGGGAGAATTGAAAAATTTATAACATCCCTATGATTTTTTGCCGTCAGATACGGGATAGCGCCAGGCGTGACACAAACACACAAACAAACAAATACCAAATTAAAGCTGTGTGGACCCTGGCTAGCGCCAGACGTTACTTAAGTAACGTCTTCTGCATAGCTACGGGAATAATTATAATGTGAGGTTACGATCAGGAGTGCTAGTCATAATAATTATAATGTGAGGTTACGATCAGGAGTGCTAGTGGCCATTATCAAACAGTTGTACTTTGCCCGGAGTCAGATAGAATAACTGCTCGTGTTTCCCGTCACGTCTGTGTTTTACTTGTGTCCCCGTCACCTCTATGTTCTCGTTGTGTCTCCCGTCACCTCTGTGTTCTGCGAGCAGCTTCCAAGCAAGCCGGTGACTATCCAGGTAAGATGTTTCAGTAGCTTGCAGCTCACCACTAATACTGCAACACCTTGCAAGCCGAGAGAAAAGAGGTTTATTCTGTTCACCTGGTCCCGGTACAAGGATCTCTGCATACACAGTGAAACCTCGTTAAGAAGAACACTGACAAGGCAAATATTTGCCTAAGAAGAACTAGTATTCGTAACTGTATTGGATAAAACCCTGTGTATTCACTGGGTAAAACATATTATGGATAAGAAGAACTCCCGTTATTGCAAACAAATATCATCGGTCCCTTGATGTTCGTCCTTAAGAGGTTTGACTGTAGTTCATCCAGGAGGGCAGGACTCCAGGGTTCTGCGCTGTTTGATCATGGCAGGGCTTATACTGTTATGTTTTTGTGTTTTTTTTTACCCTGCTTGGGTTACATGACGTATGGATATGAATTGTCGAGTGTGACTGCACATGTTTTGGTCGAGTTAGGTTAAGCACTGTGACTGGTGATGCATAGCTTGAGCTGGTAGGCTGTGTGTAGTCTGTGTTGTTGCCTTCCTGTGTGCCTACTGCAATCTGTAAAGTGTTCTGTACCGTGTTCTGTGCTGTGTTCTGTGATGTGCTGTGTTCTCTTGCATTGAAGGTTTCCAGTTTAGTGGGACACATCCGCAAATGGAAAGTTGGTGCCAAGCTCCAGACCGACTACTACGCGTTTCACTCGTCTATTCTCATACTGGATATGTGCGTTGGCAGTGACATGCTCTTGCCCAAGTACAAGGTACGTGAGCGTGACAGTATTGCATGTGTGTGCGCGCGTGTGTGTGTGTGTGTGTCCACATGCGTGTGTCCACATGCGTGTGTCCACATGTGTATGTGTGTGTCAGCAAATCGGCAAATAGGTCGTTGATGCGGCACAGCGCCTCAACCCAACTCTCCATGTCTGTCGGCCCCTCACACGAGGGGACATGTAACCGGAAACGGCAATGTTCAGGACAGGACAGGATGTGTGTGTGTGTGGGGGGGGGGGGGGGGGGAGTGCATGAGTGTGGGTTAGTGTGTAGTACTAGAGCTGCTAGTAGCCCCGTCAGACAGTACTATAGTTTCATTGGGTTGACGTGGATAATGGCATGGCTGCCCATGTGCTATGCAATTAGGGAAATGCCATGTGGTGAAATTTCCAGTCCAGTTTGGCAGAGTTAGCAGTGGCACAGTATTGATACTATTGATGATGAACTCGCTCACCTGTGTGCTGTATGCTCGGGAACAACCGTCTTTCCGAGTGTATGTCACCGTAGTGTCAGCGGAATGGAAACCAGAGACTGGCTCCATGTCAAGATCGGCTTCATAGTCATGTGATTGGCATGGTTACATTGTATTTATGCGGGTGTGTATGTGTGTCCTAGCATGCATGCCTGGTCATCGGCTCTCTGACGTGTATGCGGTTGTTGTGTATGTGATCGTGCTCTGGCCCATATGTGTACAATCATGTTGAGTCATCTTTCTAGGATTCCTTTTGAGTCTCTTTCCGCTCTTCCGGGGAGACCCACGTGACCAATTTTGCACAGTGAGCAAGTAACAGTACAATCATATTTATTATGTGTATTTGACTTTTGCTGCCCTCTCCTGACCAGGGTGACATCCAAGTGCTTATGCAGCTGCTCAACGTGCTGAAGCATGACATTCGTGATTTGAACGGACAACACATGGACAGAATGAAGGTCAGCCAATGAAAAGGGGCAATTATGACACATGTAGTGCAAACTCTGTGTGTGTGTGTTTTTTTTGTTGTTGTTGATGGTATCGGTGGCGACGGGCTCATCGTTGTTGTTGTTTCAAAACGTTATTCTCACGATAGCCAGTGGCCAATAAGAGATAATAGTGTGAGAGAGGAGAAATAATGAGGAAGAATTGGGTGGGCAGGGATTAATGACTCCTTCAGTGTACGGGCAGGGGTGGTCGCTACACGAGCATACGGAGTTGTTGTTGTCGTCGTCGTCATCGTCGTCTGAAAATATCGGCCTACAGTCCATTCACAAAAAGATGGTCCCTGGCTCTGGCGAGCTCCCGTATTAGGCGATTTTTCAAGAGTTTATCGTACACAGTGCAGTGCTGTGAAATTTGAAATTTGAAAAAGGGTCCAAAAAGGGTACCTGAACTGGGGTTCGAACCGTACAATGCATTGTTGCAGGCAGGGTCAAACGGCCTGGATGTTGATGGGTTTTCCCAATTCAGTGCTCTTGGGGCAAAACCTGGCCGAAATCCTATTCTTGCTATGGCTTGCTTTTTGGAGAAATAGACTTCAGAAACATAATTGGAAGAGGATTCCATAGGGGATTGCAGAAAAAAATTCTTAAAAAACTCAACGTTTGACCCATTTATGGCCAAAAGCTAGAAGTCCATCTTTTTCTGAATGGACTGTAGTATGTGCGAGTTAAAATAACTACATGCACCCGTGCACCTGTTGCTGAGATTGTCACTAGTACACACCACGGTCTGTGTTTGCCATGTATTCCTGTGTCCCTGGACATGTGGCATGTCACGTTTGTATTTATATTATATTTTGTTATTTCGCTTGGGCATTCCCAACAGACCCTAAGGTCTTCTTACAGGGTGCCCAAGATGAATTATGTGTTAAGTTCCTGGCGAAATAAAGTGGGGATATGATAAGTTGGAAACAAGGAAAACGGTGGCGCGCAAGTTATGCGTTAGAGTCCACCAACTAAACTAGATTTTAAACAGTCAGACGTGCACAAGGTAGCACCAGACTGACAAGGAGTACTGAGACCTTCCACGGCAAGGAAGTGAGAGGGAGAGGGATATGATTTGTGCGAAGGGATTCGGGGAGTGCATTTAAGCGGTCAACACCAATGAATGGAATCGATCAGTATCCAGCTTGAGTGTGCACACTGGGCAAAGAAAGGGGATTATTGGCTTGGCCTTGGGTGACTCTATCTGTGCGAGCGCAGGCATGGCGAAGGGAGGACATATCAGAGAGGAGTGAACTGCAGAGCTTGTGAATGCAACAGAACACGAAGAATGTGGACTTAGTATAATACTGTGTGTCTACGCCAATTATGTGGTACCTTTTTAAAAGCAAGTATGATGTGCGTATGAATATGTCATGCTGAAATATACATCTAAGTGCTCTTTTACTTATTTACAGCAGCTTCTCTCTCACGTTGTCAGCGAGACGGTGTGCGTAGGCAGTGCTTGCATACTCGAGCTTGCTCGGACTACTGACAAGTAGAACTGTCTTCTGGCCTGGACAGCAAGGTTCCTCCTTCCACGCCGAAAAGCACCTAGTTTCTTTCCGATGTCTTTCCTGAGATATTTCACGTGATCACGTGGGCACGTGAATCTAGAGTCAGTCCCAGAGTCAGTCCCAGATACATGTACTTTACCTCGTCCGACGGGGTAATAACGTTCGGTTGAGGTGGGCAGGAGAGCATGTTGACATTGTAGCACTACTGCATTGCAGTCGCCGGGGAGGAGGAGGATGTCCTGACATGTTGCGGAGGCCATCTGTACGCTATTATTGTGCTCCTCCCAGAAATCCACATCGGGAGCACGGTAGACACAGCCAATGGTTAGAAATGGGTTTGTACGGCTATTGGCATGAAACCCAACGAATACGGTCTCTAGCCTGTCATTTACTTGAAGTTGTAACATACTTGAAGTAGCGACGCCACCATCCTTCCGGTGATCAGCTCGGTCCCTGCGATTGAGAGTGTAGGCTGGTATGGCATGTTCACAATTCATCACAGTGGAGTTCAAGCATGTTCCGCTGATTGCTAGCACATCGATTCTGTACTTGTACAATATACCGTGGATTTCGCGAGTCTTATTTCTTAGGCTACAGATGTTGGTGTGGGCCATAGGTTTTTTAGCTCTTTGTGCTTAACGATATTGCTCAGAGATGAGGTGGAGTTGCTGAGAGGGAACAATGCTGCTAATTTGACAGTGATTTCTTGGACACTGATTTGGCAGTGATTTCTTGGACACTTTGATCTGGCAGTGATTTCTTGGACACTGATTTGGCAGTGATTTCTTGGACACTCTGATTTGGCAGTGATTTCTTGGACACTCTGATTTGGCAGTGATTTCTTGGACACTCTGATTTGGCAGTGATTTCTTGGACACTCTGATTTGGCAGTGATTTCTTGGACACTCTGATTTGGTAGTGATTTCTTGGACACTCTGATGGAACCTATTGTGTGACTAGTTCGTCGATTTCAGTTGCACTTTATGGCGTGCACTTTATGGCGTGCCTTCCGAGTTCAAAATCTCACCATACAGTAGCGAGCAACAGATACTCTTTTGGTGGAGTTCCTTGTACCTAGGCAGAGCCTGTTGTCTGGCAATCTGCTGCTGCTTGGTCAGGTCGTTGTTCAGGTACACGTCTTGATCGCTTACATGTATTTTTGCCAGCTAGCTGGCCTCTGCGTACACCGCAGACACACCTACACACACAACAGAATGATTCAGATCACAGTAGTAGTGTGGTCTTTGTTCACTCACGGTGGAAGATGGAAGAGCTTAGCGTAGTGTATACATGAGCAAGAAGAAGGGCATGCCACCTCACACATATACATGTACATGTGCACGTATGTACCAGACCAACATGATGCCAAAAGTGAACCACTGTGGTGAATGGGGCCGCCGGATAATTAACCAGCCCGAAGCTGGCGGAAAAAAAACCCAGGACCCCGGCGGAGGCACATCCCTGAGGAAAAACCGGTTAGAATATCCCCATCAGATAAATGAAAAAAAAACGTAGCCTGCAGGACCTATCCAGAAGTGAGAATAAAGGGGAGGGCGGGTGGGAAACTACAACGAAAAGAGAAAGACCACGATGAAGAGAAAAGTTTGAGAACACTGACGAAAAACCAGCTGACGCCATCCTGGTGCCGTAACTATGGTGAAATGCTGGCAAAAATACATTTTTCGTTTCATTCGCTACGCTCAGCCAACGAAAAATAATACGTTTCAAACCAATGGGTTTACGGTGCGCTGACTGCTTGGCCCCATGTCTTTTCATGCGTAGCCTCACTACCCTGGCCTGGCCTTGTCTCGTGTGGCATTGCTGGCGTAGCCAATGCGCTCTGCAGAGATGATTTGGTCAGCATTCATCTGCAGGAGCTGCACATGCCTAGATGGCAGTGTTATGCTGTCCTCATCAGTTCTCTCTTCTGAGATGCCCCTGAGAATAAGGTTCTCGGACCTCTTCACCATTAACTCCTCGGCGACGACCTCAGCAAGCTGTGTTGTACAGTGGTTCCCAACTGTCTGCCACACGTTTCCACATAGGGCATCCTTGCTTTGCACCGCACCTTGCTTTGCACTGCACTCCTAGTATGGCATGCTAGGTCATCACCCTGAGTCATCACCCTGAGTACGGAAGGTCCTCTCCATCTCCTCCACTCTTGCCTAAACTCACTCAGCTTCTCCCGCAAGGAACGGTTTTCCGCCATTGCATTTTCCAACTTCAGGGAGATCTCTTGGAAGATGCTGTTCACTCTCATGCTCATATCCTTCTGCCCCCGGAATATTTCGTTTAACGTGCCGCGCATTGATGCGGCGTCATCCTATTCTGCCTCGCTACCGTCATAACAAGTGTTGTCCATTTGCTGTCGAAGCCCGTCAAGAGGTGAGCGATCCGCCGTGGGAGACTTTCTGCTCAACCTCTCAGGAGTTTGGCGGAGAGAGGACGACTTCGCAACTGGCAGCCTACTTGCCTGACTGGCCGGCATGCTGGGGGAAGACAAGGGGTACTTTGACCAGAGCTCTAAAATCTGCAACCAGTTCCTACGTAATTTACTTATCACATTCTTCCTTTCATGCAAATGTTTTCAGCACTTGAATTGTGTTCTACTCCTTCATAAAAAAATAAAAAATAAAAAAGTTCCTACATAACCAACTGCATACCACATGAATCATGATCCGTTTGTTTGTTTGTGTTCTTACTGCTTTCGGCGGTGGCACAGGTGAAAGACTTGCTGATGAGGCTTCATGTGCGTTACGATATCTGGCTGCAAGCCTCGCAGACAGCAGAGGTGAGTAGCGCCGCCGTGTACTACTGCTTTCCGTCTTTTCTCTATACTAGTAGGCAGTACTCGCCACTTCACAAGCGCTGTCATGTATTTCTTGGGCATCATGCATTCATTTGTATCCACACCGAGATTTGAGAGGGAGGGGGTCCATGCGCTTGGGTGTGTGATTGCAGGAGGAGAAGTGAGAAAGTGATGCACGCACACGCACACACACACACACACACACACACACACACACACACACACACACACACACACACACACACACACACACACACACACATGCACACACATGCACACACATGCACACACAACACACATGCACACACACACATGCACACACACACACACACGTACACACACACGTACACACAAACGCGCACACACACACACACACACACACACACACACACACACACACACACACACGTTCAGAGGATGACTACATTTCTGTCTTGAATTTCTATTGACGTGTAGTGTACTTTTACTTCCCTTCTTTTTCTTTTCTTTTTCCTTGTCTTCAACAGGCCAAGGTGGATGATTATTTCAACCGGGGACTCCGCAACAGTACCGAAGAAGGTGAGTGACAGTGTCATTGGGCTTTAGCCACCACCCTGGCCTGCTACACTGATGCTAGGCTACCTAGGAAAAGGGGCTATCCTGCTGAGAAAGGGGTCATCCTGCTGAGAAAGGGGTCATCCTGCTGGGGAAAAGGTCCACCCTGCTGGGAAAAAGGTCCATCCGGCTGGGGAAAAGGTCCATCCTGCTGGGGAAAGGTCCATCCTGCTGGGGAAAGGTCCATCCTGCTGGGGAAAAGGTCCATCCTGCTGGGGAAAAGGTCCATCCTGCTGGGGAAAAGGTCCATCCTGCTGGGGAAAGGTCCATCCTGCTGGGGAAAAGGTCCATCCTGCTGGGAAAAAAGGTCCATCCTGCTGGGGAAAAGGTCCATCCTGCTGGGGAAAAGGTCCATCCTGCTGGGGAAAAGGTCCATCCTGCTGGGAAAAGGTCCATCCTGCTGGGGAAAGGTCCATCCTGCTGGGAAAAAGGTCCATCCTGCTGGGAAAAAGGTCCATCCTGCTGGGAAAAAGGTCCATCCTGCTGGGGAAAAGGTCCATCCTGCTGGGGAAAGGTCCATCCTGCTGGGAAAAAGGTCCATCCTGCTGGGGAAAAGGTCCATCCTGCTGGGGAAAAGGTCCATCCTGCTGGGGAAAGGTCCATCCTGCTGGGGAAAAGGTCCACCCTGCTGGGAAAAAGGTCCATCCTGCTGGGAAAAAGGTCCACCCTGCTGGGAAAAAGGTCCATCCTGCTGGGAAAAAGGTCCATCCTGCTGGGGAAAGGTCCATCCTGCTGGGAAAAAGGTCCATCCTGCTGGGGAAAAGGTCCATCCTGCTGGGGAAAGGTCCATCCTGCTGGGGAAAGGTCCATCCTGCTGGGGAAAGGTCACTCTTCATTTGAGGCCTACAGCACTACGGTGCTGCTCAACGAAATCCTATCATGCCAGTCAGTGCCACACCAGGGGCTTTGTAGCCCCAGACCTGTGACTACTGGAGCGTGGCCCAGACGTGTGAATGCTGGACTGTGCACTGATGCAGGGCGTATGAACTTGACTTGTGCAATCATGTATTTCACTGAGTGGCACTGTAGTATTCACTGTAGTATTCACTGTACTATTCACTGTACTATTCACTGTACTATTCAGTAGACATAGCCTTCAAGGGCCGTGACAAGGTGTCATTTTTAAACAACGATGACGAAATAGAGTACACTTTCGCAAGCTTGTCTGCTATTTGCTTGTGTCTTGTATGAAAGCCTGTCGGCACATAAGCCTAGTTTAGTGTTGACACACTACATAGAAGTACCTGGTTTTTACAAAAACCTGATTTTAATGGAAGCCTAGCCTTGACATCGGCTTCTACAGGAATAAGCCCAGCTTTAATAATATTCGACATTACGATACTCGTTCCAACTTTGGTAAAACCTGGCTGCGAATTATTTTAAAACGCCTCATCCATTGACTTATTTGACCTCGAACAGTGAAGAATTGCATGGGTCGCACAATGCAGGATGTCCAGTTGTTGTCACTATATCTGCCACTTTACTTGCGAGACACCAAAACTTTGAAAGGTTTAGGGTGGCCAGTTTTGATTGAATGAATAAACTGTAGGGCAATGGAAGCTCGGGGGCGCTCCATGCTCTGCACTGTGCTGCTCACTTGTGTGTTCAAGGTTGGTTCATCCTTTAGTCATGGTTTTCCGTGGGCGCTGAGCCAAACAAACGCAAAGCGTCTAGCATGTACATACTAGTATATTCTTAGCAATGTGCAAACGGCCTTTGGCTGCACAACGCCATTGTAATCTTGTAAAAAAAGGCTCCACTTTTTGTACTTAGAAGTAAGTTTACCATGGCATTCAGTGCGTTGTAAGAGTACAGTTTGATTCACTTGAAAGTTGTTGTTCATTTGCATGGTTTTTCTTCGAATGTTTTTCATTTGCAACAGCTCTCCGGGTCGCTAATCCACACCCAGACGCCGGGGTGAATGATTCATAGGTAATAAAAGCCAGCCTGACACACCGCCTTATTCTGGATACTTTTCTTTTTAGCTCACACCGTTCAAGATGTTTTAAACTTTCCCCACTGCACACACTGGCCCTGTTTAGCATGTTTTGCATGGAATGCTAAACATGTTGCTTCTTTCTGTACTTGCTTTGTACACGTAGTCTTTGACCGCGTTCACTGTGTGTTGCTTGTGTTGCTGGTGTGTTCCTGTCTACTTTTTTATGAGCTTTTTCTACCTGCTGTTTAGAACAACATGTTCTTGATCATAATTATTGCTTTGCTACTCTTTTTTTAATTTTTTTACTCGTTTGAATAACCACTGACCTCCTTCTTGGTCTGAGTGTACAATCTCTGTACTGATTCGTAGTTAATTGGTCTGTGAAGCGTCATGCTAAATCAAAACTAAGAGGCAAGTGTACCTTTACAATAAGAGAATAACAAAGTGCTTAGGATCCTTGCTTTGCTGTCCAGATTAGCATACGTTGGTCTCACTGTACGAGGTGTGCACGGTGGTGGTGGTACTCAACACCCTGCTGCTGACCATTTGACTCATCTACCAGAAGATTACGGGTTGAGGTTGTATTTGATCCCTCATTCAGTCTCCCTACCTCCTCAGTCTCCCTACCTCCTCAGTCTCCCTACCTCAGTCACCCTACCTCAGTCTCCCTACCTCAGTCTCCCTACCTCAGTCTCCCTACCTCAGTCTCCCTACCTCAGTCTCCCTACCTCAGTCTCCCTACCTCAGTCTCCCTACCTCAGTCTCCCTACCTCAGTCACCCTACCTCAGTCACCCTACCTCAGTCACCCTACCTCAGTCTCCCTACCTCAGTCTCCCTACCTCAGTCTCCCTACCTCAGTCTCCCTACCTCAGTCTCCCTACCTCAGTCTCCCTACCTCAGTCTCCCTCATTCAGTCTCCCTCATTCAGTCTCCCTCATTCAGTCTCCCTACCTCAGTCTCCCTACCTCAGTCGATACATCGGTTCATTATTGTACAGTCAGACCTCGCTTAACCACACACATTCGTTCTCCACGAAAATATCCGGATAGGCGAGGGGACCGGATAACTGGACAGTGAACACACATACTGTGTTATGCATGTGGCATATCAAAAGCAGTCAGAGTGGCAGCGTACGTACATGTATACGGATCATATGCAGTACAACTAGCGTGCGCATGCGCAATATGTAAAACAAGCGAGAAAATAATTTTAATGACAAGTGCATGCAACTGGGTGCTATCCGTATGCATCCAGCAAGTCAAGGACCTCATTTTGTTTGTACAACTCCCTGATTCTAGGGCTGTGTTTACATGAGGCGTTTCAACCCGGGTTGAGTTCGACCCGGGTCAGATTTCAACCCGCCATGTGCACAAAATGAATGGCGCGTTTACATGATGCATTGCGCTTGACCCGGGTTGAAATTTTGCCCCGGGTTGATTTCAACCCTCCCCCCAAGGGGGAACCCTCCCCGGGTTGATTTCAACCCTCCCCTTGGGGGGAGGGTTGAAATCAACCCGGGTCAAGAAAATCGTACAAACGTACTTCCGTGCGTATCTCGCGCCAGGTTTGAACAGCACTGCACATGCAAATTTCGCGCGAACGGATTCACGTTACCAGACAGGACTCTAGAAGTGGAATTTTGGCGGCATATCAGTATTTGACCCGGGTTAGGCACCGGCGGATAATGCTAGCAGAATAACTAGCATAATGACCCATGTGGGGAAGACCGGCACTGCCCTAGCATAAAGTCTCCAAATGTGACCTTGTCTAGCACAATCGATGTGTGAAAGTAGCACTACGTCCAATCTGTTGGCACCACAGTGAAAAGTAGCGCTATTTTTAGAGCGCAGAGAGACACACTGGTGCTCCCTGCGACGCTGGCAGCCCTCTGTACCAATGTAATGAAAATGTAAGCATTCTTTCACTGTGTTCGCCCTGCGATACTGCCATACTCCGAGTGACGGCAGAGGGAAGTCATTATTTCCCACCGCAAGTATTGCCATTTTGTAGCACTATCAGCACTGCTAGCATCATAACTAGCTCAATCGCTCCAAATAACTAGCAGTGCTAGTAGCACAATTTCCACATTTAACTAGCATTATCCGCCGGTGCCTAACCCGGGTCAACTGTCTTCATGTAAACGCTCACCTATTTTGTCTATCGTACAGAGTACTACAGTCTTTCAACCCGGGCTGAACTCGACCCGGGTTGAAATTTCTCATGTAAACTCACAGCTTAGCTTCTGCAAGCCACGTGCAACCGGATACTCTAGTACGACGGAGCTTTTTGTACACATTTCCACCAGTTTGTACACAAAATCATGCACCGGTATGCGGATTGCGAGGTCCGGTTATGTTATGCCTCACGTATGTTGCACATCGGTAACCAGCGATTTTCTTCCGGATGGCGAGGGATCCGGATAAAAGAGGACCGGATAAACGAGGTCTGACTGTAACTGCCCTTGCATACTAGCCAATCCTACCGGATTTTCCGGGACAGTTATACGATCTACAGGATTTCCGAAAATGTCCGTCTGCACCTTTTTTGTCGACTTTTCAGTGTTTTAACGCTCTCGAGCAGCGCTTCACCCACACAAAGCTCTAGCGAGCAAGACATCTTGAGTGCTTGGACAAGTACATGTACTTTTTTGTCGAACATGCTGGAGAATTTGCGAACATGACGACTGTAAAAGAGCAGATCAAGGAAAAATGGGCACACTCAAGGAAAAACCTCTTCGGTGTCAAGGAAACTGTTTGCCAGAGGTTGGCAAGTATGCCCTTGCCAGGCTTTGGGAACTTGCTCAACAATCGACAAACACCAACATTTAATGCAGTTCTCTTATAAAGGTCATGTGAAAGAAGTCATGATGATGAGTCAGCGAATTCCGGTACCGCTTATGGGCATAGTTGTGGGTAGCAGCACGGCTGGAAAAACCGCACAAGGGGTACATGGATGCAGCTAATGGGGTCGTTCTCGGCACTTGTGCCAGTGGTTGTGAGACTTATCCACTCACCCCCACCGTTAGGCGCTGCATCTGCCGCTAGGGTTTACCGGGTGTTAGCGGCCGTCGTGAGTTCCCTTCGGGAACGGACACGATAATTAATTTTTTTTTTACTTATGGGCATAAAGTATAGTGAGTCGTGAGTGAGTCGCTACATGTAGTGCATCGCTGTGCCGTGAACTTGCCAAAGCATCTCAGCTGATAACTTGATGATGTAATCGCATAACAATGTCATGTCACCTCTGCAGGACTCCACTACAAAATGTAAGCATCATGTACATGTACATAATTATACATGTATGTCACTATGGGGCTACCCGTATGATTATGCTATCGTCGTCACTACTGTCACTACTGTCAGTACTGTCACTACTAGTTCCTTGCAGTGAACACGTAGCCTGTGGACTGTTTCTGAGCATTTCAACGGCAACCCAAGCAGTTCAGGGCTCAGTCTGGCCTACAAGGCTACATGTACATGTATGGGCCAATGCAGATGCGCTTTTGGAAAGCAGAGAGCTACCACTATACCTGCACAGTTGCAATAGATTATCTGGACTACTCTAGAACCGGTAAATTTCGGTGGAGATTTATTTTTGGTAACTTCGGTACACGTAATTTTCACCTATTAAAGGCCGTGATCGTTTGGTTGGATCCAGATCCAAATCCGTCGGATTCACTGGATCTGCAGTGATCGATTGGTCGAATCCGCATCCAGATCCTTCGGATTTGGATCCGAGCAACCCTGCCCCGGGAGCAGGGTTGACTGAATCCATCGGATCCAAATGTGACCTTTGTGCGTATATGGCGGGTAAAAATCATTTTTGTACTCATTGTCGTACGTCTTCATTTCAATCATCATGGCTTGGGTGCGAGTTCGCAGCCAATTTGCAGTGATCCATGCAGTCGACCTCTGGCTACGCGGGTCTAGAAGGCGCCTGACAGGCCTGTCGACGCAGGATGGTGCTGGGGTAGGCATCGGCCATTGAGAACTGAATTTCGTCTGTTTTACGTGGAATTTCTTGGAGTTTCCCAATGTATTGTACTTGAATAAAATTCTATTTTACCTTTCATGGTATCTCAATTTTTTTCACGTCTACATGACTTTATTTTGCCCGTAAAAGAGGCCATTACCCCCGAAAAAAAATTGTCGTACGTCTAGACGTCTAGTGGACGTTTGTTGACTTTTCGTACAAAGCGCGCGATCAGTACGACTTTTGCCCTTTTGGGTGACCTGTCGGCGCCATTTTTTACTTCGTCAACATGGCAACAGCCAAGGTCCGAAAAGAAGTGATCGGTTGATTCTGAAGGATCCGACGGATCTGAGATTTTGATCTGGATCCGGATCCGACCAAACGATCATAGCCTAAGATAAAACACAACCTAAAATTCAACAAAGCCATGCCACGCAGTTAGGCATGGGCGGGTAATGCTAGCATTATGGCTGGCATTATAGTCTCTTTTTCCCAGGTGGCATACTGCTGGCATTATAACACCATGTCGCATGCAAAATTGGCATTACAAGCATAATTGCCGGTCGACAACGGTGTCATGCATGAAGCTGGCTAGGTCCAGTTCCGAAAATCGTGCATCTGAACCCGTCCGGCTTCGTCCAGAGACTTGACGTTGCAAATCAACCTTCTCAGTGGATTGTTTCAGACACCATGCTCACTGCTGTTTCAGTTTTTTCTTCTACGCTTTGGCCTTGATCAAGACGGCCTTCTTAAATCGACTTTTCCAACTTTCAAACTGACATTATGGAGTAGTGTGAGCATTATAAGTGGCATTATATCCTCATATTATGAGCATTGCCTTCAGCATTATCGCAGTAAATAACTAGCATTACCCGCCCATGCCTACGTGACACAGTGTGCAAAATGCATTTTTGGATCTGGAAAACCGGTTTACCGAAAATTTTGCGATACCGAACCGATGATTTTGGGGAATGCCGAAAATATTACACCACCGAAAATTCCCGGTTTTACAGAATCTTGACTTCAGTGAGTGAGTGGACTTACAATACATGTACACGGGCTTTGACTTAGGTGGAGATACCTGGGGATAGGCTTTCCCCAAATCGGCCCGTTTCTTTCGCCTATTCGGCTTTTCGCTCGGCTCGAAAATAAATCAGATTCGGCTAATGTTTGGTTGAGAGGAGGTCAAAGGACACGAGTCACACAACCTCAACACACTAGTACTACAAGTACTGAAATACTGTAGAGAGCTCGAGCGGTCATGCTTGCAGAAACATCATTCGTTCGCACTTTGCAACAACATTTGGTAGATTTTCGGCTATTCTCAAAGGAACTCTCCAAAATCGGCAAAAAGCTTAGCGATTTTTCGATAAATCTCGTTTTCGGCGAATATTTCGGCCGGTCGATTTGGAGAAAGCCTACCTGGGGAAGACTAGGAAGTGACCGAACAAGGAGCACCCACGTGACGACTACTTAACCCCGTCGGGTGTCAACCCC